CGCCCTCGCATCGACGCGGGCATCGGTTGCAGACCCTCGCAGGAGACACAGCGACGACGACGACGACTCCGGCGGCCAGACGACGATGAGGACCAGGTCGAAGACGCCGCCGCAGGGCATGAGCTACACGCCGTCCTACGCCAACGACGAGCATCGCCGTATCGCCGCCGCGGCCCTGCGGCTGTCTCGTCTACACCCGCCGGCCAGCGTCAGCAGCTCCGGTGCTCCTGAGCCAGACGGGGCGGTCCGGGTGCCCCAGGCCGCATACATCCTCGATGCTGGCTGCATGGACTTCCCCGTCGACATCGAGGTTGTCGACGCAGACGCAGACGCAGACGCAGCAGACGTCGACGCTGACACCGACCGGGACGCGGAGGACTGGCGGAGGATCAAGATGCTCGCAGCGGACTCGACGGGCTCGACGGAGGGCAGCCAGCTTCGGACGGACCTGCTCTCGCACTCGCACTCGCACTCGCTCTCGCACTCCCGTCGCAGCCACCAGAGCCACCGGAGCCGTCTCAGCCAGCAGAGCAGACGGCACAGCAGCCAGGCCGACCACCAGGACGCCGCCGGCCGCGACCATGAAGAGGAGGAAGAAGAAGAAGAAGAAGAGGAAGAACATGAATACGAAGAAGAAGAATATGATGAAGAGGCCGATGAAGACGAACTCGAGCCTGGCTGCTCGCATGAAAACGCCTTCTTCGTGCTAGTACGTGCTCTTGTGTTTTTTTTTTCCCTCTCCCTTCCCCTTAATTCCTCCCATTAATGAATCCGATATATCAAAACGATTTTTTTTTTATCATACAGACCACTGACAAACGGGTTACGATGTAGCTCCGGATATCCTTCTGTCTCCCGCCGTTCACCATCTTCGCCGCCCTCTACGCCTTTATATCCCTAATATTCCTCCTCCTCGCCATCCCCTTACGCCTCTGTCCCCCTTCGCACTTCTTCAAACCGCCCACCTCTCTCACGGAACAGGTCTGCCGGCTGCTCGTTCCTTTGCTCCGTCTCAACCGCCGGACTGTCACCAGCCCAACCAACAACAACCACGATCACGGCCGCAGCAGCAGCAGGAGCAGCAGCAGCCATCACCATCGCCATGACCATCATAATAACCACCATGCAAAACGCTCGCGGCGGCACTACAGCACCCACTCGAGCCTGCCAGCGTCCGCCCTGACCTCCCCGCGACAGTCCTATACCATCTCTACCTCTACGCCCGTCTCAGCGTCGTTTTCCAGTTCCACCATCCCCACCCAGCCTGTCACTGCCACCGATTCAGCCAGCATTCCTGCATCTACGACTACGCCCGCCGCCGCCGCCGCCGACAGTTCGGCGTCGAGGCTGTATGCCAACTATTCGGCCCCCATGCTCGTCTTCGTCCACCTGCTCTCCCCTCTACTCCTCCCTCCCACCTTGCTGGCCGCCTGGATATGCGCCTGCTTCTGGATCTTCGTCATGATCATGGGCAATCCTGACGGCAAGGAGAAGACCGACGATGGCCGCGCTGCTGTCTTGGCGGTTAGAAACTGGTGGTGTCTCTGGCTCGCCAGCGCCCGGAGGAAACGCAGAAAAAGAGACCCGGAAGCGGGAGCTGTATAGACGGGCTTCCTCTTCCTCTTCTTCTTCCTCCTCCCCCCTTTTGCTTTTGTTTTATCTTCTACTTGCTATCTATGTATCGATCTATCTTGTTGTGTGTTTTTACTATCGTTGTTTTGCTCAGCATATGTACTTTTTTCTCTTTTACGATGAACGAATAATACCACCAAACCCACCGCATACATACGCCCTCTCCCACACCCATCGTCTAATCAAGATCGATCGACAGAATTAGGGAATCATCGCTGTCCATGCTAAGTCACACATGCATATAGAGAGTCACTTTACGCAGTAGATAATCGTCACTCTTCCCTGCTCTTAAAAACAAAAAAAAGACTTCTGATCGCTGTATAACCATGGATATCAATCTATACCACAAGCCATTTTTCCTCTTCCAACTGCCGCTTCTCTTCACTTCTCACCTACCAACTCGCCCCCTGCCACCAGCACCGCCGGCACCCCTGGAATCCCTCCTGCGCTTCTCAATCCTCCCGCTTCCCCCGGGGCTGCCTCTCTCTTTGCCCATCCCGAGGCCTCGTCGGCCAGACTTGGCTGCAAGCCCCTTGGCTTTGCCCCTGCCAGCCTGTCCCTGTCCACGCGCATTATTACTCTTCTCAACATCATCCACATCCATCTCCACATCCATCCCCATCTCCATATCGTCGTCGTCGTCTCCCTTCTTGCTCTGGCTGGCTCTCAGGCGGCCCTTTTGGCCCTTACGCAGCGCATCCGGACCACTGACGGCAGTGACATAGGCGTTTACACCGGACTCTGCGCCCGCACCGCTGGCAGAAATGTCCATCTCGTCGTCATGCTCGCCCAGAAGCAGCTTGCCGTCCTCGTCCATGCGCGGGCGGCGTTTCTGCTTGTGTTTCGACGCTAGGAAGCGCACGCTGGGCTTGGTGCTGGAGATACTCGCCAGTGCATCGGGGGCAAGCAGGTCCAGCGGGTTGGATTCAGGCGAGAGCTCACGGATGTATTGCTCTCCTGTATCGCCTGCACCCGCACCCGTACGTCGTCTACTACTGCCTTTCTCCCTGGACGAAATGGCCCGTTTGGTGGTGTTGCCTGCACTGTCGATTTCAATCTCACTTGCGTCCGACTCGTCGCCTGACATGAAGTCCGAATCAGAGCCGTACACTGCCTTGTCGAACTCATTGCTGAACGACTTCTCTCCCGCCTGAGCAGACTGCTGGCCTCGGACATGCTGCTGCTGCTGTGTATCCTCCTCGTCTTCGTCGTGCTTCGCTTCCTTCTTGCGTTTCTGCCGTTCTCGCTCCTTGCGTATCGATACAACCAGCTTCCGGTCTGACTCTTCCACCAACCCTTCCACAAAGGCTGCTCCGAATTTCCGTATCAGCCGGTCCAGTATGCCCTTGACTTTACTCCTCAGTCGGCCCTTGTGCTCCTTGCTCCACATCATGAGCTTAGGCACCGCGGACGGGAGGCGCGGCTTGAGCAGATCGTCCGGTAGCGCTACCACAGCCACTTTAACGAAGCCAAGCACCGAACGGACGATCTCACGGTTGTTACTGGTCAGGAACAGCTCGATGGTCTGCACCAGGTCGGACTGCATCGAGGTCGGGAGCTGCGAGTGATACTCGAACAGCAGACGTGACATGGCCGTTACACTGGCCGCAACCATGTGTGGTGAACTGCCGGCCAGACCAGCAGAAACCATTGTGAATAGTTCCTCAATGGTGGCGGGTGCGTCTGGTGCGTCGTCTGGCATATGTGCTACCAGCGAGTTGCGGATCTTCGTGCCTGGTGGGTTGCGTTCGGAGTCGATCATTCGCTGCGAGGTGTGGACAAGCAGGGCAAATGCAGCTGTCCGTGCCTTTTCGTTGCTCTCCTTGCAGCCCAGTACGACCTCAGAGAGGATGCCGGGGATGAAATGGAGGTCTTCGGTCGGTAGGTGGGTGATGATCTCGTGAATCGCGAGCAAACGGTCCCGGTGAGCTGGGGCAGGTGTCTTGTCTGCTGTTGACAGGATGAGGGCCTGTAGCTCTGAGCTACGTTCGCTTAGAGCTGCGCGGCCGGCCTCTGTGCCTGCGAGACGCGGGATGAGTTTGTATGCCTTTTTGATAAGCTGGGGGTCCGAAGAGGACTTGTTCAGCACCACGGAGGCAAGCGAGAAGAGAGTCGCAAAGCTGCTGCGAGGTAGGTAGATGGACATCGTCACAATAAGATCCATCAGTGTGTGCGAGGTTGGAGGCATCTTGTCCTTGCGACCCGTGCTGGGCTTGCTGCTGGCGTTGGCTTCTTCCTCCAGAGCGCTCTCCAGCATAGACGTTACTCGGCCAAACGTTTCAATGAGTTCCTACTCTTGTTAGACTAGTAATAGATAAAAAAAGTAGTATGTATATGTAGAGTAATAACATACCTGCTCGCCTGTAATGCTCAGATAAGCGTTGATGCATTGCAGGATATAGCCCCTGAACTGTGGCAGCGTCTGGCTGTAGACATTAAAGAGCACCGCAAGCATATTTCCAGCAAACCCAGAAAGGTGCTGGATATTCTTCCTCGCTTCTTCCCGGGTAACTCGCCGCTGCAAGACGAGATCTTCAGTCTCTGACTCAACGGAGGTAATCGCCTGGTTCGACTCGACCAGGTTCTGCAGCGCCTTGCACACGTCTACTCGTAGCTCTGCCTGCTTGTACAGCACATTTGACAGCAGCTCGGCAAACGGCTGATCAAAGGCCTCTCTCATGTCCAGCGGCAGTTCGCAGAATCCAGGCAGGCAGGCCCAAGTCTGCTGTACCAGCGTCTCGAAGATCTTGACCTCAACCGTCTTCTCTGCATCTCCGTAGTCCATCACCCGCTGATACAGGGCTTCACTCAATGGCACAAACTCAGAGCGGAAGTAGGCCAGACTTGTGTTTGCGACATGGTCTCGTAGAATAGGCAGAAGCCACACTCGACCGGGCTGGCCGGCCTTTTGATTCACGATATTGAGTGGGATGATATCAAGCACAGCCTTGGGGCCCATGACATTGATGGCAGCACCCAGCACCTTCTCGGCCTCCTTTTTGCCCTGGAAGTTCTCGTTTGCACGCAGATCACCAACTATCTTCACCACCTCGTTCATCACAGGCGAGCTCTTCCACTGCAAGGCGTTGAACATGGCTTCGAGGACATTGAATACCTCTGATCGAGCAACTTGGTACTTGACTGCAAGCAATCCCGTAGCTGACCTGGCCAGCCTTTCAATGATCTTCTCATCGTACACTGATGCCTCTAGCAAAACAGACTCCGGAACACACGCAACCAGAAGCGAAATCATACCTTCCGAGGCAGAAGTGCGGATATTCCGTGATGGCGAGGTGAGGAAGCTCGCGAACAGGTCGAAGAGCTCCGGCAGCTTCTCAAACGTTTCCTGCGCAGAAACCTGGGCAGAGACATCGTAGCCTCGAGACAGAACTGCAATCCACGGTGGGAGCAGCTGCGAATCGTTGTGTGCTGGCTTCAGCTCTGATATAGCGTCTAGCAGACGCGGTAGCTTGGAGGAAGTGAACTCGTCTGCCATTCCTGTAGATATCACTTCAAACACCTCGAATGTGCCCATGGTAAGGTACTCGTTCGACGACCGGGCAACGTTCATAAGCAGCTCGCACAGTGGCTCGATCTTCCTGCTCGGCCAGCCTCCTGAGGCCGCCGCAATAGCCTTGACAAGCTGCAGGGCATGCGACACCGCGGGTTCATGATGCTGCTGTTGCTGCTGGTGGTGGTCCGGCTGATGCTTCCCTTTCCTCCCCTGCGCCTTCAATGTAGCAGTGACACTGTCATTTAGAGTCCTCAGTGCCGTCTCAGCGCATAGATCAGCCGCAGGGTGGTCCAGCGATGGGCTCGGCGGGGGCTGTCTGAGTATCTGTATCAGCGCATCCTGCACCCTCTTCCGGACCTTTGGTCTGTGATCGACCGCCAGCGCCAGCATGCCCGCAATGGCCCTGCGAGGCCCGATCTCCGACGCCGGCAGCGCCCATGCCGCCGCGTCCTGCGCTATCAGCAGGTTCTGCAGACAACCGACGGACGACTTGAGCAGCGGGGCCTCGACTTCGGCGAGCGTCAGGGCCGGCACCAAGCTGCCCAGTATCTGCGCAAACTTGGAGCGGAGCAGCGGCGCGGGGACAAAGGCCGAGACCGTGTCGAGCAGATATACGACGGAGGTTGCCAGCTCTTTATTCACGATGCCCTGGGTGGTGTTGATGGACTGCGGGAGGAGGGCGAGCAGCGCAGCAAAGTAGGCCGTTGCGGTGAACTCGGCATTCTGGTCGCGCAGGGTGTCTTCGACTGCTGAAAGGACGACTCCGGTCTGCGTATGCCATTGTCAGTTATCTCTCTCTCTCTGTCTGTCTGTCTGCCTGTCTGTATAGCTGTAGATGGGCTGCTTACATGGTGCTGGTTCTGCAGCTTGGGGGACTTGATCTTGTCCAGCTTCTCGTGTAGCGACGCCATGACGGCGAAATACAGGAGACTCGCTCTCGCTTCCCGTCTCTGCTTCTGCCGGCGATGCTAGAGTCGAAGCTGTCACCAGCTTTTGTTGGTGGTGAAGCCGGAGTTTCTTCTCTTCTTTTTATGCTCTTTTTATGGTTTTCGAGATAATTTTTTGGCGTCGTTATTTTTTTTTCCTTAGTTGAGCCAAGTGGGTTTTTTATCGATAGCGGAAGTCTGTGTGGGCCAGCAAGACAGCAGATTATTTTTTAACGAAGAAGCAAAAGAAGATAGTTCTATCTTTGATCTATAGACTCGAGGGTCAGATGGATAAGAGAGACGGGGTTGGTAAGAGAAAAAAAAAGGTGGTCTGTCATTGTGTGAAATATAAAACAGACGCTTTGGCGCAGGAGATGCATTTCACAATATTCTGCATGGCCTGGCGTATCCATCTTCAGAGCTCTATTTAGACAGGAAAAGGGAGGGCACCTTGGGCAGACAAAGCCTGTGCAGGTGGCTCTCGGGCAGTACCTGGCATAGCTGGTTGTTCACATATCAATGCTTTGTGTGTGCTTCGTAGCGGTGTCCAGCATAGTCCTTAAGAGTAGCAGCACTATTTCGTGTAAAGACTAGATTAGATCTGATGGGGGAAGTCATTTCAGAAGAGAATCTCTCCGCTGTGCTCAGGCTCAAACCCGAGGGCTTGCAAATGCGTGCTTCGCCGCTTGTCCTTGCGTTTCCGCCGCTCCTCGGCCTGCTTCTTTAGCTTGAGGACTTCGGACGCAGGCGCCTGTCGGTAAGGCTCTGGGATGTCATCATCTTTATCGAGGTCCTGCATTGGAGACATAATTAGTGGTTGGAGGCTGGTATCTTTGCAGGGACATTGACGTACAATCTCTCCAAGAAGCAATACGTTCTCTCCTCTGACCAGGAACACTCCACGAGGGATGTCTGCATACAGATTCTCGGCGTATAGTCGTTCAATCGTGTCCTGCAGTACAATGTTGGCTGGATAGCTGTTAGCCTTTGTATTCTCTCTATTAACGCAATGCAGGGACTAGGGAGATGCCCATTGACATACCGAATTGGTCCCAGCTTCGCAATACTCCAATTAACTTGCGGCCATCACGCAGAACCAACACCAACTTCTCTGCACGCCAGATATCATGTATCAATTAGCCACGACTTTATAAAACCTCACTCTCCGATTCCAGATGTACCCCAAATTCAAGCACACACACACAAGTTCCCCCACTATCAACGCGGAAAGGTAAGGATCTCACTGTCTGTCAAGTCTAGTAGCTGTGCCGCAGTCGTAAAGAGCTGGGGAGGCAGCTGAGGAGGGCCCTGGGGCTCAAGAAGCGGAATAGCGGAAGCCGGGGGGATCTGAGGCTGCTGCAGCTGCTGCGGTTGCTGCTGCTGCGGGTTGCTCGGCGGGCTGGGTCCGTGATGTCCTCCGCCTTGGGGATGACGCATAGGATCACCTTGCCGCCCTCGCGCAGCCTGTTCTAGTGTCGGGAAGTTCTCCATCGTATGTGTATCTTGGGAGGAGTTCGTAGTGATGCGCTTTGGATGTGCGGGTGAGGTAGATGTAGATGTCCAGGTCAGTTAGTATTCCGTCTGCAGTGAAACTCGCTCGGCGTCAGGGTCTTATGCAGCGGCCTCTCCTGGGCATCGTGCTTCGCCAGTCTCAGCGAGCAGAACAGTCGACGAAGATCGTGAATGCGCGCGCAAAAAGGAACAAGACGAAGAAGCCGAAGCCGAAGTCGAAGTCGTCGATTTTGCCCAGTTTGGAAGATCGAAGACGCACTGCCGGATCGGGCAGAAACTACGCTTTTTGGCTTGTTTGTCTCGTTTGCATTTACTTCGGATTTACATTGTTCCTTTTAATCACGTGATGGAAGTGTTTTTCCGGGCCTAAAGAGGAAGGTGTTTAGCAGTACTCCGTAGGGGAAGTTCCATTGATATTAAGAGACAGCGAAGGAGCTGCTGGCGGCTCTAAGATACCTCCATACTGAGTACCTGAATGGATTATGGGCGGGCCGAAGTTGGAGATGCGAAGCCAATGCCCGACGATTACTACGGAGTACTCCGTACACAAGAGCGATCTTCCAGGGCTAGATCTTCGCTATCAAAGGATATTAATAGAATAAATATGTGACAGCAATTTGGAAGAATCGATCGTCTTACTACGTACTTAGATCTCGCTTAGTTTACCATAAAAATGCCAAAGATAAGACCATAGGATCGAGCTGAAGTGAAGCAGACAAAAATTTATTGTTAGCCTTTGGCTTCAACTGGAGCGATGCTCCTCTGCCTGTCGATCGTTGTGGCTTGGTTGAACCACAGAAGCAAAATAATAGTACATCTCTGGAAGCATGTCTCAGAATTCCAATCCTTCGGGAGGATGTTTCGCTTAACAGCACATCTGGGGTAGGCGATTCAATGCAGGTATCATGCCCGAGAATTGAAACCGTAGCTACCAAGAGGTCAACAGCTGGTTTGATCCTGCTTTACTCCGTATGCTGTGCGGTGTTTTTTGATCCTCTCGGCTGCAAAGAGGAGGCAACAAACGAGCATGGAGAGATATATATAGTGCAATTGACCTGCTGTGTTCCTCATAATCTTTCCAGGCACAAACATACTCCGTATCAGTCATTCAAAAATAATTCCACTTCAGAAGAATCGCAAATATGAAGCTCTCCTTGATCGTCAGCATGATGCTCGCTGCCACCGGTTTTGCAGCAACCCTCGGTGCTAGGAACAACAACCCTCTCGCTGACGAGGTAATTCACAACCTGCTCTAACGGCTCAACGTGTTCACCGCTAACCTGAATGCGATATCAAGTGCCCTGTTGACCGCCCGTGCAACCACAACCAAGACTGTGCCGCCAGATACTGCCGTCGCGTGGTTGTAAGTGGATATCCCCTCTTAGCGAGCAATGTTGTCAATCGCCGCTAACGAACCCGCTAGGACAATGATGGCAACAACGGTCGCTGCCGCCCATGGCCAAGCTAGATGCCCGAATATTCCTGTATACAGACCTGTCATTCGGACTTCTGTGGAGGCCGGGGAATGCAATAGAGAGATATTGTCCTTGTCATCATGGTAGCTGGATATAGATGCAATGAAGAACCCCATGTACTCCGTATTGTTTCTAACATTCAGAAAGATTTGTTAGTTTGCGCCATCAACGAACTATAAAGTAGCATGCAGGAAGGAGTAGTATTGACACTAGGGCCGGATATATGGAGGTAGCTAGCGGCGATGGCTCGCTGCCGTTCTCTTCCGTTTAACTAGTTCGTGAACTAGTTAGTTAGTCAGTTAGCTAGTCTCGCAGGTGAGATCGCTCTCCAGACAGAAAAACAAACAAGAGGTGAAAATAGACTCCCCGAAATACAAATCACGTGATATCTATTTTTCAACGACAGCTGAAGTACTCCGTTGGCTCAACGTCAACACGACGTAAATGACGCTCATAGACGCGACGGTATCTCCCTCTTACTGGCCGAGCGTGCTATGGATTGGCGAGAAAGGCGGAGCTCTGGCCCTGAATACTGCCTAAGCTGGCTTGGGAGCGTCGATTGCTATTTTAAGAGAACAACGGCAGGGATCTATAAACAGGACGGTTATCAGAAGTGAGAGCCGCATAATACCCCAAAAAGACACTCCCCTTACATATGCCAAAAAAGTTGAGAGAGTCGATCACACGAGCAAGGGTGTCGTGCCTTGGTCTCCGGGCAATTCTCGCATTATCGTCGGATTCGATTCCCATGAGTGTTGGACAGATATCCTAGCTCGGTAGCACAGACAGCCAGGCGCCATGAGACATGGCGAGTCTTAACGTTGCTCATCTTTGGCCCTGGAATCCTGCTTGAACTGAGTTTCGTACTTGGCCAGTTCAGCCCTAGTACTCCATACTTCCGGGATACTTTCCTGGGTCCAACAGGCCGTCACACTTATGGCATTTTTAACTCTTATATCCCGTTCGTCCGACAGTCCCCCGTTCTTGGCACCGAAAGAACACCCTGCGTGTCTCTTTTAATGTTTAATATATATTATTTCCTGGCAGAACTGAGAAAAAAGCAGTGGGAATTGTGGAGTGGCCCATGTTTGTTATAACTCAGGGATGTGGAGTGATATGTTGCAATGAGACACAGAAATATTATTGCAGGATTGCCGGGGTAATTTGGTCTCATCATGCGCCTGGGTGGCTCCCACGCTGACTTTTCCAATGGTGAGTGAACTGGTCATATCTTTATTTCTTGAGTTTCAAGCTGATGAACTAGACCCTCACCTTAGGAACTCTCCAAATTGAAACTTTCCGCTTAGATTGCAGATTTGAAGACACGAGTCCATTATCGGCTGAACTAAAATAAACTAAAATATACATGGGGGAAAAAAAAAAAAGACGAACGTAAAGTATAACGAAGGCAACATTGCCAACATTGCCATCGTGTTACATCATTTGAGAAGGATAATTAATCTCATCCGAAGAGAGGAGAAGGGGAGGTGAGAAAAAAAAAAAAAAAAGAAAGAACAAGCCTGCTCCGGACTCAGCTTTTATCGTCATACCTCCCGCGCCGGTGAAGTTTGACCCAAAATACTTTCTATGTCAAAAGCTTGATTGGGCGAAGGTTTACCTTCTCTCGTGGCCACCGAGTCATTTCATCCAACCGGGGATCGGACGGGAATCGAGTTAGCAACTCTGCAACTAGCCCGGCTCCGAGGCCTTTAGCCCACCAGGTGCGAGGTTCCATAAGATGCATGAGAACCGCCCAATGCATAAAGAGAAGCAGTACTAAGGGATTGCCGCGCCGGGCTTCGCATACAGTATTCTTATCCAGCATGCTTAGCCATGATAATACCAGGCTCTGATCTTGTTTCTCACGGAATATTGAGAAACATAGCTCAAGCTTGTGGACTAGGCGCTTGAAAACGTTATATTCTTCCGCATTGGCAGAGGCTAACGTCTCATCCGTAAAGGCCATTAACTTTCGGAAGGCAATTTCAGTTCCTGGCT